AAAAGGTAATTCCCAAAGTATAGGTATAGTAACTTTACACCAGATTCGATTAACTAATAATGATGAATATAAATCTTTAGTTGATTGAACATTATTTAAAATCATAATCAATAATTCAGTAGAAATTTTAGTTGCCATTTTTTTTTTGTCCAAGAAATAATGAGAAAAAATAATCGTATCACATTTATATGATTCAGCGTGTAACAACCTTGAATGCAATGGTAACCAAAATTAATAATCAAAAGTACACACAACATACTCACATATAGATACAATACAATAACGGAAAATGATAAATATTTGAAACAAGGAGCGCGTTTTACGGCTTGAATTTTACAAATTTAATTTATTTTATTTTATTTTTATGTTTCCTGGATTATAAATATTGAGGTATAAATTAATTTATTATTCTTTTTAGTACATAATTTCTTTTATCTTGGGTATCTTGGGCTTTGAATTTCAGATAAATAAGGTAGATTATTTGGATTTATTACCTAATTTTTTGAGGATAGATTTACAAATATATTAATATTAATTGATGATTCGTTTCTAAACAGCTAAAATTTTTCTCTACATAATAATTTTGAAACTAATAATAGAGTATATATGTTTTAATAGTGACGCAATAAATTTTAAATAATTAAAAGAAGTTTTTTGTTAATATTAATTGTTAAAAATTAAAAAAACAAAATTTTAAATATAATTAAAATATAGATTAAGACATATGTGTACAAAATGATAACCTTTTAGCATATATTTGTATTAGTACAAATTTTGTGTATTTTTTACAAAATTTTGTATTTGATAAATATTAGTATATATCTCAAAGTTGTCATAAATAAATCGTATATTTTTAAAAACGGATGATTTTCAAAAAAAAAATTTTCACCCGATTTCATCCAATTATTATAGATAAAATAAAATTTAACCATAATTTATCAAAAAATTTTAGGAGACAAAAATTTGTGCAAATTTTTCATTATCTGCAAAAAATTTACAGAAGTGTTTTTTTTTTTTATTTCTATTTTTTTTGACTTCGCTCGCGATTGTGAAGCAATTTTCTTACTAAAATATTTCTAATATAGATAGAAAGGCCTTGTTTTTTGCTACAAAATGGTATGTGTTTCATTTCTGTAGCATGGATATTCGCAGAGTTATTCCAGTTTAAAGAAAAACGTCCGTGAAAAATCGTGCGTACTGATTTTTACATGATTCACATGATTTTCTCGGACGTTTATCTTTAAACTGGAACAACTCTTCGAATATCGATGCTATCTGGATGAAACACATACCATTTTGTAGCCAAGAACAAGGCCGTTCTATATACGTTAGAAATATTATGGTAGAAAACCGCTCTACGCTTCGCAAATCACGAGCGAATTCGAAAAAAAAGTAAAAAAAATGCAAAAATTTCTGGAATTTTCACTTTTTTTGACTTCGCTCGCGATTTGTGAAGCGTAGAGCGATTTTCTACTAAAGTATTTCTAAGATAGAAAGAAAGGTCTTGTTCTTTACTACAAAATTATATTTTTTCATTCAGATAGCATCGATATTCGCGGATTTATTCCAGTTTAAATAAAAACGTCCGTGAAAAAATCATGTGAAAATCAGCACGCAATATTTTTCACGGACGTTTTTATTTAAACTGGAATAACTCTGTAAATATCGATGTTACGAGGATGAAACACATACCATTTTGTAGCCAACAACAATGCTGTCTATTTATATTAGAAATATCTTAGTAGAAAATCTCTCTATGTTACGTAGATAGCGAGCGAAGTCGAAAAAGAAAAATATCACACAGTTTAAACTGGTTCTAATCCAGGGACGATGATTTTTTGTGGTGATATAATGTAAATATTGTATGTGATATATTAAAATTATGTGCTTTATTGTGATTTTTTTTTTATAAATTTTGTGAGATTTTGTGGCACTTTTTATAGATTTTGTGATATTATTCGATCAAAATTTATTGATTCGTTATTGAAAGATTAATAGTCTTATTAGTCACGATTAAAATACATCATATTTAATTGTAAGTGATTCTTTTGTCTATCCTTATCTAAAAGAGTATTATATAAAGAAAAACTACGTTCTACAGCACAACTAGAAATAGGTAACCAAATGTAATCTAATGCAATTTTAGAAAGGTTCGGTAATCTATTTGATAAATCATTCCAATATCATTTTCATTATTATTATCAAATTCCAGTCCACTCCCCATTCGTGTAATAAATCACCTGAAGGATTATCAAGTTCACTAATAATTGAATATTGATAAATGCTGTGTCTTCGATTATTTCCTGTATGCATATATTTGGGATCAAATAGACATACTGCACGAAATAATGGACGTGTAGGATGATTAGGACTATGCACTTCAAATTTTTTATATACAGATTGAAATGCAGCTTGAAAAAAAGAATAAAATTCAGATGGATTGAAATTTAAATTTGTTATAATTTCTTCCAGTTCACCAAAATACAGTAAGTTGAAACGGTTTGATTCAAGATAAGTCAAAAGATTTGTTAATCGTGTTTCTACAAAAGGAAAAATAGTTTTTTTTTTTTTGTTGTTGAAAAAAATCTAAATCTTGAACAAATGCTTTAGCATATATTGATATAAATTGTGTATAAATTGTAATATTAAATAAAGTGCACTTATTGTTTCATTCCTTGAATCAATTTCGCTTTCTTTTTTGTAAAAATCCCGCCAATACTGAAGATGTTCTACTGTATAAAAAACCATTTGAACCAGCTATTCAATCGAGTTTATTTGGTAATGGAATTTTGCATGGTGATGCAACACCATTCATACGCAAGGAGCTATATATCGGGCTTTTCTTGCGGAAGATTTGACAAAAGAATTTTTAATTTTTGTCAAAAAGTTTTTTATTAATGAGAATTGTGGGAAATCCTGCCAAATTTCACTATCATAAAATTATTAATAAAACTTGTAAAAATTAGTAAAACTAATTAATTATATTTAATTAATGAAAATAAAAATAAAAAATTTTATGATCTTACCCAATAAGGTTTAATATGTGTGCCAAACATGGAAGATGAATTAATTGTGGCATAAATGGCTTTAGAACATCTCGATATGATTTCTTCATATATGTTGCAGAATATGAAAGAAAGAGACGTGGGAAATTTATAGGAATATTATAAAAATGTAATACCGAAAATAGTGTTTGTGCAATTGTTGAATTATTAAATTGTTCCAAAAAATCAACTGATACTAATTTTGTTTGTGTGCGAAAAACAAAGAGGGTATTAACTACACTTCGCGCACAATTATCACTAGTTTGATCCATAATTATAGAAACAGGTTTTGAATCAAAAAATAATTTTAAATTTTATTGATGGTTATTAAAAACTTTTGGCAAATAAATTTGACGTAAAGTTGAAGCTTGAGGAATGGCACCACCTTCTTTAAGATGTTTTTTAAAAAAGGGAAGTAACAAATTAATTTTTTCTAAAGGAATATCTGCATTAGCAAATGATTCAATTAAATCTTCTATGACTTTTTTTTTGATTCAGATTCTTGTAAATTTCGTTCTAATGTTTGCTGGCTTTTTTTTTATTTAATTCGAAATTTTTTTGTTGAGAAAGATTTTTTTGCTTGTACAATGTGCATCTATTGTAGATTTATGTTTCCATTCTACTGAAAGGTCACAATAGTTACAAAAAAGTAAGCCATTGTCAACATGAAATACATTTTCATACTCTTTAACTCGTTTTCGGGGCATTTATAATTAAAGTATGATTTACGATTTTTTCATTTTTAATCAATATATATTAAAATTATTGCGGATTATATGTTTTATTGTGCATATTGAATTAAATTTGTGATTTTGCAGTGATAATGTAAAAATTTGTGATTATCACAAAATTTTGTGCTTTATGTGATATTTTGTGGAATGCCAAATATCATTGTCCCTGCCACTGACTGAAAAAATTAAAATTCCAATTATAGTGAATCACAAATAAATACTCTTTACTGTTGTGGTACTGTTTGTTTTCTTGAGCCGATCTGATGACATTTTTGTGATCAGACTATTTAAAAACAATTAATAAATTCGTTATAGAATTTGATATTTTTATCTTAGTTACACTCAAATATTATTAATTTATCGTATTCTAATGTCAATAACAATTTAAATTAAGAAATAACTTTTGACGACAATAAAGTTTTGTTCAATAGATTTTGCAATAAAAATTCTCACAGGAATAATATTGCACTCCGTAGGTTTAACAAGATGATGACATTTCAACGGAGATGTTGAATGCACTCCGATTTGTCAATTGAATGCTGGTCGTATTTATTTATAAGTTCCTGTTTCCTTATTTTCCTTATTGAAATTGGGATTTCGTTAATATAGGATGATTGCAAAGTATTTATTTATGTTAATAACGTTTTTAACTTTGCCGATAGGTAAATAAATGTTTCATCTTAAATCGATATAAAATATAATACGCTAAAAGCAATAAACTTATAATAAATAATGTTTTACAGCAATGGTTAGTGCAAATTCGGCAACTGCCCTCATTCCCGCAAGTAAAATTTGGTGGGCTTGGTCCGATGAGCTTTTTAATATTCATAGTGAGTATTTAAAATTAATTACATATATTATAATAAACAATACCAAACTAACTATTAAAACTTTAACTTTGAATATTAATATAGCATGTAATTTAACATCTGCAGGGGATTTAGACCCTCTTGACGATACGTGTGGTTCTGCTCTTAACATTTCACTTTCTGATAGTGCGTCTACTTTATTTAAATTATACATGTGGCGATTTGTCAACAAAACTACTCCATTACTTAATCCGGACGACTTTGTACTTACGTCAATTACAATGAGCACCACTTGTAATTTACCATGCGAAAGTGGAAAGATAGTCTCTGGAAGAAATTATTATTATGTTTTGGCGATAAAGAATTTTAGTAATGAACCAAAAAAAGTTAATTTTGAGGTTCCATGGCATATTGAATGTGATTCAAGTAATTCTAATAATTCTAGTAATTCTAATAATTCTAGCAATTCTGATAATTCTAACAATTCTAATAATTCTAACAATTCTATTAAAATTGGTTCTAGTTCTAGCGGCAGTCCTCATAATTTTTATTTAGTAACACTAGTAATTTTAGTAACAATAGCAACTCTATTATAAAGTTTACGCTCGCTTCTTTTATGAAAGTCTAACTATTTGATTAACATACTACGAATATATTAACTATATTTAAATTTTAGATAAAATATTTTTAATATTATGTCTAGTCAATCTATATATTAAAATTAAATCTGGGGAAAATTAATTAAATCAATTATAAAACTAGTTAAAAAAGGAAAAATAATTAAATTACGTGAAGAATAATATATAATCTTCCTCCATGATGTGGTTTAATTTTGACTCAAGGCTGATTTTTCTTTTGTTGAATTATTTGTAAATTAAATTTCCTATTTGTTAATAAATAAGAAAATGATTATAAGGAATCATTATCTATACTTCCGCTGATGACCATGCGATAATTTAAAGTTTTATCACGAATTTAATTATCTCTCGTCCTCTCGATGCGATGAATATTAATCATTATAAACGTGGTTACATTTTGATAATGAATCTTTTAAATATTAAATATTAACCAAGGGTTTGAGTGCGCAGTGAAGGTCAACTTCAATAATAACGTTGTATTCTTGTTTATCATTTAGAAGTTCTGAAAATCTTGTCTTATTTAAAAATTTGAACTTCATTTTTTTTAAAATTAGAAGAGAAGCAATCAAATCAAATATTTTTCCGATTTGTTGCACAACTTAATTTTTCGCGGATCTTTTATTCTTTTGAATTTTTATTTACGTTTTGATTCATATTTTCTCTGATAAAAAAGTATAAATAAGAAACTTGAATCTAAATTTAAAAATAAGTTATGAAGATAATAAAAAAAAGAATCAAAAACTACAGTTAACAAAATTCACATATAATCGATAAATAAAATAAAATAATATAAGACCAAAAAATATCAAGTAAGTAGTCATTATGAAACTTTTAACAAATCTTTTCATTGCAATTCAATATCTTCTTTCATAAGATGTACTCGCCTTTTATTTTAGTAAAAATATATATATATATATATATATATATATAATTATGGATATCATGAGAATAATAATTTTATTATTTATACTTAAAGCAACCCATATTATTATTTTTTTTTCTTCGTAATAAAATAATAATTCTGTATCTCACAACCATTGAACAGAAATTTCAAATATATATATATATATATATATATAATTTATCCATCATGCATTATGGGTAAATTAATTCAACGGTTCAATTGACATGACGTGTATTATTTCAATCATGTGTTTTCCATACATTTTGGGAACAAACAAAAGAATAATTGAACTTTGAATTTATGATAAAAAGCTAATATCATTGATTTTTTTCGTTGCTTTTAGGTTAATGCGCTATATTCATTCGTTAATCTGAAAATTGTGTCCGGATATATTTATATTCTTAAAAATTAAAATTATTACATATTAAATATTTAATTAACAAAAAATAAATATTTAGTTTATTTTTATACTCAAAACAAAAAAAAATCTTAAATTCTTTGCATACGGTTCATCATTAGTCTTTTTTTTTTGATTTTATTAAATGTAATATTTATCTTCTTTTAGTGTATTTTGTTGATTCTTGAAAATCACAAATCTAAGGTTTAGATTGATCTCTTTGAATTTTAAAATTTCTGTTTCCATTTTGATGATTCCTCGGAATCTATATCATAAGTACATCTATAAATGTAAAAATTTGTGATTAATTATTTATTAAAACGATGCGACTTAAATTATACTAAAAATAATGATACCTGCACATTTTCCAGATTTTATATCTTCTAATGAATCTTGCAATTCATAAAGAGTATAAATGTGACTACTAATATAACAGGATTGAGGATGAAAATTATATAAAGATTGAAGTAATTTTTGTTCATGAGATTTATTCATTTTTCCTCTATTTTCATCAGCATAGAAAAAGCGTCGTTTCATATCACATCACATAATTCGTTAATAGTTGGTCGTTTAAAGGATCATCATCCCAGCATTGGTACATCTTGTCTAGATAACGATTTGGAATCAAATTTAACATAAAATCAGGATCTTTGGTCTTACACCATTATATATATCAATTATCAAATAGGCAAATGTTTTCAGTAGCCACTTCATACATAATTTCGCACAAGCTATAAATAGTCCCTCTCCTTTGTAAATTCATTTTCTCTTAATACCTCTGGTGGAATATATGCAATTAAACCATATACATTATTGTTTTTGCAATCAGAGTTTAAAATTAAGTCATCATCATCTAATTTACTTAACCATAATCTATTTTACATCTATTTTTACATCGAATGAACCTAGATCACAATTCTTCATCAAAATATTTCTACTATGCAAATCACAATAACTAGGTCTCTTCCATGAGAATATCAAGACCAACTATTATTTGTTCTAGTATAACTATTTTTGATTTATTTTTTATTTCTTAAAGTTGAAAATGCAAAGACCATTTTTTCCTAAAAAGGAGTGATTTTCCTCACAACCGATTTATTATTTATATTGTCGCGGTCTGCACAGAACAATGTGGAAAGTTACGCAAATCAGTCTCAATAAGTTTAGGATAATCACACGATAATTCAATGTATCACTAACACACTTTCTCTTGTGCGCAATATCTTAAAACACAGCAAGACAGGCAATCAGTCGATCTAAACCTGCTTACTAACACTCACAAACAATGCAATTACGTGTAATATCTGAAGGTACGATGAGCAAGTGGAGTAAAAGTATCTTTATTACTGCTTGCACACTACCAAACTGAAATAGACTTTTTAATGCAACTTTGCCAAGAAATACGAAATAGTTTATTAAAATTTATTAAAATTTCGTGTAGGAGTATAACAATAGCAATATATTACTGCTTTGGCGTATCTTATCACTTTGCTTCCTCCTGCACTAAATTAATTATTAAAATTATTACAACAATAGTGATATATTACTGCGTTGGCGTATCTTATCCCTATTGCTATACGAAATTATTTTATTATTATTAAGTATTATGAAACTAAAATTAAAATTGTTCGAAATATCAAGTAAACTATTTTTATTTTGGTTCTTGTTCTTTTTGGCGAAAAGGAATATCCTCTCTTTTTTCTTTTTTTTTCCGCAGCTATTTTATATCTTACCCTTTGTTTACTTTCATCCACCATCATCCGTAAACACGAGGATATTATCTTTCATCTTGGATGAAGGATGATGCACAAAGATAATTTCATCAAATAGTGACACATATCATCCTCTATCATCCCCGTGACTCCGGCTATTTTCGTGCCGCCTCACTATCATGACACATGTGACACAAGACGATACATATGACTAAATACAAAATCTAGATGTTATGTTATACCTGTTTAACCATGTAGAATAACGACTCCGATTGAAAATATTTAAGGAATTGTACGTATAAATACCACCTTTTGCATCATTTTAAAAGAAATCTTATATAATAAATATTGATACATGAATTTTTTTTTTTTTTAATTAAAAAAATAAACTTCCATCTTACGTACTATAAGCTAACAGAAAATGTCTAAAATATGCCTAGAATGCAATGAAATATATAATGAAGATGATGAATGGTGCAAACCATGCATCTCAAAACATTTTAAAAATGATTTTGATAAATGGACAAGTGGAAATGATACAATAAATAAACTTATTCAAGAAACTCAACTAAACGCTGATTATTGGGAAGTGATAGAATGGATACCTTATGATAGATTTCAAGACATTAAACAAATAGCAAAAGGTGGTTTTGGTACTATTTATTATGCTAAATGGATTGATGGAAGTATTCTAAATTGGGATATTGAAAATCAACGATGGCTAAGAAATGGTCGATGGGAAGTGGCGTTAAAAAGGTTTAATAATATTGTAGATAAAGATGAGGATTTTTTAAATGAGGTAAAGTAATATTTTAAATTTATTTGAAAATAAATAATAATTAATCATAATTTAAAAAAATGTTATTAGGTGGCAATTTTATTGAGAACAAATGACGACCATTTATCAGCCTACCTTTGTGGAAATACAAAAGATCCAGAAACTCACAAATATATGATGGTTTTAGAATATTATTCAGGTGGAAGTCTTAGAAATTATTTAAATAATCATTTTAATAATATCAATTCGATAGATAAATTAGAAAATTTAAAAGATTTAGCCAAAAAATTTTCAATACTTCATAAATTAGATATAGTTCACCGTGATTTTCACCCCGGAAATATTTTAAAAGAAGAGTTTTATATATGTATAACAGATTTTGGATTGAGTAAATTAATTACCGATAACATAAAAAATCTTCAAAAGAATACCATTTCTGGAGTATTACCCTATATAGCTCCTGAAGTATTAAGAGGGGAAGAATATACAAAAGCCGCTGATGTTTATTCCTTTGCATTTGTCGCTTATGAAATCATCACTGGACTTCCCCCGTATCATGATGTGGCGCATGATAAAGATTTGGCTTTTAATGTATGTAATGGATTTCGACCAAAAATTCCATTTCACATGCCTAAATTAATTACACAAATAATTATGCGATGTTGGGATGCCCGAATTGCACAACGACCCACTTCTGATAAATTACATACAGAGTTGGATAAATACTATTGGGATTATCGTGAAAATAATAATGAAATTACAATTCAAATTAAAGAAGCTGAAGAATTTTCCAATAATCAAACAACAACTGATACAACAGCTACAACTCCGATGAATTATAAAACACATCCGCAAGCAATTTATACCAGTCGACTTCTCAATTTTTCGAATCTTCCAGAACCTAAAAATGAAGAAAATTTCGAAAAGAAACTTGAAGAATATTCAAAATCTTTTTATCAAATAAATGATATTAAGTATCAATTATATATTTTATTATATTCACTTTCAATTCATAATTAATTTTCTTTTTCTTTTTTTTAATTAGGCGATGATGATGTTGATGACGACAATGATGAATGATTTGAATGCATCTAATTTATAAATTTATTTAAATTATCAATCATATATTTTTTTATTTGTATTTTAAAAAGGCATTGGTTATTAATTTTTTGATATTAACAAAATCTTAACACTAAGTATAAAGTTTGTAATAAATTATCGCAATTTTTATATATATTACAAATAATGAGTGCATTTTGCTAAATATCACATGATTTTAAAGAGACGTTTAATAAATTTTATTGGCTCAGTTGACTAAGCTCATTTTTAATTTATTTAATCTATTATAATTCCGAGCTGTCAAAACACCACCAGCATTTATAACAAATCTACAAAATAAAAAGAAGAATGAAATTATGAATTTGGTTAAGAATCTGATGATGATGATGTAGGTTCTTCTACCAATATTTTCAGTGACTTCGGTCAAAAAAAGAGAACTGAGAATAGTGGTGGTACTTAATCTTAACGAAATCAATATTTTATATAATTGAGCTCAACAACAACAACAAACACTATAATTACCATCATCATCAACAGCAACAACATCGACAAAATATAGGAATTATATATATCTATTTCGAGAGTCATGTTGGCATCACGTATGTGGACTTTGTTCTTTTTTTTTTAGCAAGACGAAAAGGAAAAAAAAAATAGGTTCAAAATTTTAATTTTTTTATCTTTAGATTTTATACTAGTTAAAATATTTAAAAAATTAGTAGTAGCATATTAGGAGTAATTGAAGATAAAATACGGAAGTGTGATGACAAAATCACAATTTTCTTATAAAGATTTGTCAATAAATTATGCAACGTAACGGAGGTTGTTAACGTTTATTGTACAGTTTTGAAGTTTCATAAATAACAAAAAAGTTCTTCAAATTTTTGATAAATTATCTCAAGATTTTTCGAAACTTCTTAATGACAAAAAAAGAATATAATGCTATAATCGAAGTTGATAAAGAAGGAAATAATAAATCTTTTATTTCACACTCAGTTGTTTTACGTTTTCGCTCACCCTACCTTGATAAAAAATTAGATGACGCTACGAAGAACGAAATCATGTTAAAACTATTATTAAACCAATATTTCTGCTCAAATATTTGAAATTATTCTTAAGTCAAGAAATTAGTTATTACTTTAAATTTTAAATTAAATATATTGTGACTTGACATTAATAAATAAAATACAATCTACGGCGGAATTGTCGATATTGAAAATAATGATAACGAAATCATTTATGAATTAATGGTCAATGCCAATGAATTAGAACTTAAAGAACTTTCAGTAAAATTAGAAAATTATCTTATTGAATCTAAAGCTTTTTGGTTAAGAACTCACTTCTCCTTTGTTTATCATTCAATCTTTAATAGTACTGTAAATGAATTTTAAAGGTTTGAAAAAATTTTATAATGATATTATTGTCAAAATATACAAATTTAATTTTTTTTTTTTGAATCAGAAGATTTCAATTCACTTCAAGAAACAGCCTTGATTTCTATTTTGCAAAGAGATGACTTGACAAAATTGAAGAAATCAAATGTTATTAAATGGGAAATTGCAAAAATCCTACTTTACCCGCTGATTCGACGAAAGAATGGTCTAATTAACTCAACAACAATGTTTGCCACTTATTCGATGTTTTCACATTCTTAATGAAGATATTTGGAAGAAATAAAACCTATAAAAAAATCCTCGAAAAATAGCTTTAGGATGACATGATCAACATCAAATGTTCCCAAATAGACCCTTCAAATCCCTTATTTTAACAGTGAGAATCATTTCAACCCCCCCGATTTGCCTTTAACGAATCCTTTCAACCCCCGATTTGCCTTTAACGAATCATTTCAACTCCTGATTATCCTAACGATCAGAATATTTATGGTCCACGGTTTGGTAATATAATGAATTTATGATGAAATTAAATGTTTCCGATTTTACTCCAAATGTAGGTGTTAATATAATCCTAAATATAATACTTATTATGAAAGACCGATTAGAACAGACGGGGAATTTTTTTCTATTTTAGATTATGAAGTATTTAGGATTCTTAAACAAATTCAAAAACTAAAATTTCTTCATAAAATTGGAGAGCTCATTATTTAATTTAGAATTGAATCGTTTTTCCTAAATAATAATAATAATAATAATAACCAATAAATCTTCATTTAAATAAGTTTTTAATTTACATCGAATAAGAATTTTTTTTTTTTGGAACGCACCACACCGTAATTCTTAAATTGCATTTATCAGTCAGATGACATTCATTTTTTTATGCATATATGTATATTATTTATTTTCCATTATTATTCGGGGGTTTTTTTTAAACTATGATTATACTAATCAAATGCAAATGCAAATGCTTGGTATTAAGTACACACGCACATGTATAATATTTAAGGAATAATTATTTTATCTACCAGTGAATGATGACGCATAATTTCACAACAGTTTTATTTTGGAAATACAAATTGTTTATTCCGAAAATATTTAATTACGGGAGCAGAAGCTTATGATCAAGAAATTTTTTAATAAAGATAAATACATAAATAAATAAGTGTATATTTTTTTCCTTGGTTACTTGTCACATTTTTTCGGTGAGACCCGGTTAAAAATTAAAAATTAAAAAATTTCATACAATTTTATTCGATTAATACTTTTTTCTCTTTCATCACCCATCTCTTTATCTCTTCCTTTCGAATTATTATTAGATATATCTTTTTTTCACTCTTTTAATTTAAAAAAATTTTTTTTTTCATAATAAATGTCTATTTACGTCTGACAGGTATTTTTGTCTAACGCTTAGCTACCTAATACAGGAAATTTTTAATTAATTCATTGCAGACAAAAAAAAATTACTGGTAACAATATTTCCAAATTAAGAATTTTATGTATATTTTATATATTTAGAATGTAGAGAGAGTATCTATACATTTATACAAGTATAATAAAATGCATATATATAGAGAGATAAATTATAGGAATTTTTAGTACAACAAATACAAAATAATTCATGTAATCAATGTGGTAAAATTTCTATTATTTTTATCATTATTGAGATAAGAAAAAAGGTGTTTAAAGAAGGGAAAAAAAAATGTCGAGTAAGGTAACAAAAGAAAATAAATAAGTACGGTAAGGTAAGGTATAAGGGTAATAAAGATTAGGTAAACAACAAAACAAAAAAGCAAAGAAAGAAAAAAATATGTCCGTTCTTGTTATTATTAATAGGAAGGAAATACTGTAAGTAGAAATGCATTATAAATATGCGTTTTTATTTTTTTCATTTATTCATTCGTTCGTTTTGTTATTCATCGTTCGCTCGTTCATTATTAACCTTTCAGTTTAATTAAATTAATTCATCATTCGTTCAATTTATTATTAAAAATGATTGACAAATTATGTGATGCGCATTACATTATTCATTTTCTTTTTAAATTTAAATTTAAATTTAAATTTATTTTAAAATAAAATAAAATAAAATAAAATAAATATAAAATAAATATAAAATGAAATAAAATAAATATAAAATAAATTAAAATAAATTAAATAACAATAATTCTTCGCACAAAAAAAAAAAAAAAGGTAAATTCGATATATGTACATACACGAGTTTATTTTAAATAATTAGAATAAATAAATAATTAGAGATAAATTAGGTAATTATAATAGTTAAGAAAACGGTGATAATTCGAGAAAGAGAGATGCCAAATAATAAATTTATGTTGTGATTAAATATAAAGTATGCATATCTAACATTTAATACAAAATGTACATTTATTCTAAACTTTCTAAAATGAACTCACCCATCATAAAAATATAAATATTATATAGTAAATTAATGTCGTCGTTATACGAAAAATCTCGCGCATAATAAGCTACCAAATATAATATTTTTTGATATAAAAACTTTACCTTTATTGGTACAGTTTAAATTGGTGAAATCTATTGTACATATTATATTTACTACGATACGATACGAACGATTATTTTGATTATATTAATTTATTTAAGATTTAACTCAATCATTAATTTATCATTATTATTTTTATTTTTATTATTATTATTATTATTGTTATTGTTATTATTATTTATCATCATTAAATAATTCAATTATAAATATGACCAAAAGTAAGCGTTTACCAAATTCTTTTTTATTTTTCAATTATTTAGGCTCGACAATCTATTTCTATTATTACATTTCCTTTCCTTCATTTCTCTCTCTCTCTCACTCTCTCTCTTTCTCGTAATTATAATAATTTAATTGCTTTGGTGATAAAATTATTATATTTATTTTACCATTAACCAACTCTACCATCTCTTCCTTCCATAAATTTTTAATTTACCATCACATTATCTCTTCCTTCTTTCCCTCTTTACTATTCTACCAAAATGAAATTCCTATCCTTAATTTGTTTAATAGGTTTAATTTATACAGTTCAAGCTGGTATTTATACAAATACTCCATACGTAGGTGTTACTTGGACAGGAGGTTCATCTTATCCAATTAACTGGGTCGATGATAATAATAAACCTTCATTAACGGAATTGGATAATTTGACTATTGAGTTATGTGCTGGTAAATATCAATTTATTTATTATCTATTATTAAGTTTAATTTTAATAAAAAAATAGTATATTGATTTTGATTATATATATTAATTATATTATATTTTATTTTAAATTAATTTAAATAGGAACCGAAAAAAACCACCACTTTGTAGCAACTATTGGCAAAGCTAAAGGCATAGCAAAAACAATTACTTATTCCGTTCCTACTAAAATTGGTCCAGAAGGAGATTTCTATTTCATAAAATACCATCAAGGAGATAACATTTATTTTTCCGCTAGATTTACGATTAAGGGTATTTCTGGAACCATTCCTGACTTTGATCCCTCAAATCCCGATAAACCAGTCATCTCCACCAAAAAAGAATCAACATCCTCATCTAGTTCTACCAAAGATTCTACTACCAAAACAACAGTTAATACTGCTACTGCTACTGGTAAGAATAAAAATTCGGCTATTAATTCTGCTTCTAGTGGACCTAATAAAAAACCTACTGGACCTACTGAACCTACTTCTGGACTTGCTGCTACTACATCATCAGTATCATCACCATCATCAGTACCAAAAGGAAGCAACGGTTCTCAAATCAATTGTTCTTATTCATTCTTATTTAGTTTCTTGACTATTGCTGCTTTGGCTTCTTTGGTTTATTAAATAAGTAATTAATTATAATTAAATTAATTAATTAATTAATTATAATTAAATTAATTTGAGAGCTTTATATTAGTATTATATTATAGATAAATTTTTTTAGATGATAAAATAATAATAATAATTGTAGTAGTAATAATAATAATCGAATCAAATAATTGATAAAATTATTGATAATTTAATAATTGATACAAGAGAATTAAATATTAAATTAAATAAATAAATAAGTAAATAAATAATAATAATATAAATGATCAAATATAAATATAGATCAATAAATATTTGAAAAATAGTGTAAATCATATAAAAATAATGATTGATAATTAATTAATTGAATAAATTAGTCAAATCAAATTTAATTCAATCTAATAAACAAATCCACGTCAATTAAATTTAAATAATTCAAATAAAAATTAACAAATGAAATTAATCATAATAATAATAAATTAGTTATGTTTATATAATTAATTTATTTATTTATGCATTTTATTATTATAAAGCTATTATCGGTAAACAAACATCACTAATTTCTATTTCAATTTCTTTATTCCAAATATCTTGATTTTTTAACCTATTATTAAATTTCGATTTTAAATTATCAATTAATTTATTGATCGATAATAATTCAACTGAAATCGTTGAGATTCTGTATCCTCTTCTTGGTTTTAAATTAATTGGAAAACTAAAACTTAATAACAAATGTCTATTAAATAATTATAAAATAATAATTTAATAATATTAATTAAAATAATAATAATTAAAATAATAATAATTAAAAATAATAATAAAAATAATAATTAAAAAATACTAATAATTAATAATAATAATAATTAAAATAAAATAATAATTGATAATAATTAACATTAAAAAAAAAATCGTACCTTTGAATTTTCATATTTGATTTATTACTACTTAAAAACACTTGAACCAATTTTAAATCCTGATTACCCAAACAATTTTTAAAATTTTCCGAATTCGTATCTTCTACTGAATTAATATTTTCTACGGAATTAATCGAATTATAATCGATTACGTAAATCATAGAATATTCTAATATCCATCCAGTAAACGTTATTATACAAGAAGGGGTTTGTGAGAAATACATTATTGAATCAATCGAATTGGGATTTTTTATATTATTATTATTATTATTATTGTCTATAGTTAAAGAATCAACTTGTGATTTTAATGCTTTTAATAATTTTTTGAATGATGATGGAGGATTTATCTAATAAAATAAATCAATAATAATAATAAAAAATTTAATAAAAAATTTAATAAAATTAATATCATAACATTCTTACCAATTCAGGAATTCCACGTTCTTTCCAAGAAACATTTACGAATAATAAATTATTAAAACCATCGTCATCATTATTAACATTTTTATCATCATCATCATCATTTTTTTCATCATCGTCACCGTCACCGTCACCTTTATCGTCATCATCATCGTTATTATTGTTATTATATAAATCTAATTCTTCGAGTAAATCTAGTTCTTCGAGTTTGGTGATAAATAAATATTTATTACAAATAAATGTATGAGTATCAGAAAATTGTAAAGCAAATAAATGGGACAATTCGGAATTCTGATGAATTAATACAATAATAATGCATAATAATAATAATAATTAATAATAATATGATGATGATTGAATATAATCGAGGAGAAAAATAATTTACTTTGTGAAATTCATCAATTAGTTGTTGAGTTTCTTTGATAGTTAAGAAAATCGTATCAACGAGATGAGATACTCTAAATGATTATTATTCAATAATTATCAATAATTCAGAAAAATTAAAGATATTTAATATTTGATTAATAAATTAAATAAATGTCATTATTATTATTATTATTATTATTTACCTTATTCCCAATGCTACTACTAAAATATCTATTTGTTATAGTTATCGTTAATTTATTATCATTTATTTATTATTTATATTATTAAACAAAAAAAAAAGATAATAAAATAAATAAATAAAAATAAAATAAATAAGTTACCATTTACCAGATTCATAATTTTTATTCTTCTATTTTTAAAAATTAGCATTATGGAATTTTTGATATGATTCAATAATATGTCTAATGAAATTCGGGAGGGAAATTGGTAATGATAATAGGGAGGATTCATTTTTTTTTTTTCGTAGATCCAAAAAATTTCGTAATTTGTTAAATCAATTAGGAAATATAAACAGGTGACGAAATATGACGAATAGATTAGCAATATTTATCCTAATATATATTGTATTAATATATGCATATATTAAAATATATTATAAAGAATTAGTCGTCGTCGGCTACTTTTTTTTTTGTTTATATACGAGTGATTTTTTCTTTGATGATTTTTTTAATTAAAGTTCCTTGTATTTTATTTTTTGAAAATTTTAATTCTTATTTATTTTTTTTAACGAAAAAATCGAAAAAATGCCTCATAAGAATATTCTTGATTATGATATTTTCTCAAAACTTCCCAATGAAATTTATTATAAAATACTCGCAAACATCGAAGCAACGGATCTCCTTGCTATAACTTTGGTAATCATATCTATCTATTCTAATCCATTTTATTCGTTGGGATTGAATTGAATGCATTGAATCATATGCGTTGAATTGCATTCGTTGAATCGTATCGTAAATAATAATAAATAATAATAATAATAAATTTATCATCATTCATTCATAATCATCATCACTTCGTTATTATATAATAGGCGAGCAAAAGAATTTATCAAATATTAAAAAATGATGATTACGTTTGGCACTTGATGTGTAAAAATCAATATCCCAAGAAAAGGATATTAGAAGTTAAAGAAAATATGATTTCAGATATAGCTACGAAGAAAGAATTAAAAGATATTGAAAGAAAAAGAAACGAAAAAAGAAATTCGACGACCAACGTAAGAAAAAGAGAAGAAAAGAAAGAAGATGGATTTACATATGGATTTGAAGGAGATAGTAGTAATGAATATAATGAAGAATATTGTAATGGAGAAGAATTTAGTGAAGGAGAAGAAATTGAAGAACAAGAAGAAAAAGAAAAAGAATATTGTGATGAACAGAATGAAATGAATTCTCAAAAAAATATTATTACTTGGAAAGATTTGTATAAATATTTATGTAAATATTTCTTTATTAATATTAACATGAATGATAATAATAATAATATAATAATAATAATACTAACAATAATATTATAATTATTAATAGCTAATCCTATCGTCTACATGGCTAAAGAAAGAGAAATTTGTTGGTTAGATTGTTCCGAAGCACCATTTAATAGGCATCATTGGAGTACCGTAATTTATCCTGAAAGGTAAATGAATATTTAATAAAATATCATTATTATTGATGTAACATGTACATATGTTTACAATATATTTATAAATATATTTATATAACGTGCATGAATTTGTAGTGAATGTGGAAAAGTTGTTTGCCTTAATTACGTCTGGTTGTTTAAAGTATGTAATTTATCATTTCTTCCTCTTATTCGATAATTCAATTATTCAAATTAATTATTAATCATTAATAATCGTTTATTTATTTAAATTTCTCTTCCAAAGGTTATCGGAAAATTTAAATGTGTACAACCAGGAAATTATGACATTATTTGGAAATTTAAAGTTAATAAGAATTCGTATTCTGGTTTGAGTAAATTAAATTTCGAGACACGCTTGTTTTATTATGTAATCTTATCTCACATTTTTATTATTGATTATTTTATTTTATTAATTTTTTTTTACATTCATTAATTTCATATTTTACATCATTTTATTTCTTAATTTATATATGTATATTCAGAATTATCAAGATCAAGAAGGAAATGAAAAAGAAGAAAGAAAAGAAGAAAGAAAAGAAGAAAGTGAAAAATTAATATCAGTAAAGGCCGAACTTTCCAGTCCAAATTTATTTAAAGAAATTTCATTAAAAAATGATTGGGTGGAACATCAATTATATCATCAAATTGTTATTCCGGAGATAAGAAATAATAATGATGGAAAAAATTATTGGTATAATGTTGAATGCAAGATATCAAATAATGATCGATATCAGAAGAGAGGTTTGGTAAATATATATATATTTTTTTTATTTATTGTATCATTATTATTATTTATTTAATTTATTATTTAAATTATTTTTTTTATTATTAATTATTAATTATTTAATTTTTATTTTATTTATTTATTAATTGCACACAGTGGATTGATTATGTTAAATTAAGACATCGCAAAAAACAATGATATTATTTATCAACTGTTAACAATACAAATTCAGATATAACATTTATATATAATATGTACAAAATTTAAATATATATATTTTTTATTATATGCTCAGAATGATTTAAGAATTACACTTCTCTGTAGATAAATATACGGTAAAATGCGTTTTACGCACATGCAACCCAAGACATTTAAAAAAAAATTTATTAGTCAAAATATCAACGAATTATAAATTATTATCATCTATGAAGTAATAATAAAATGAATACCTTACACTATCACTGTATTTGATAAATTTTAAAGATACGAAAAAAAAAAAGATATTTAACATGATCATGACGTAAATAGTGATATTAAAAGTATATAATTTATTTAGATAACGATTCATTCATAAATAAATATTTTTTTAAAGAATTTTTCATCTTAGAAATATTTTGGCACATTTGAATAATTCAAAGAAAAAATATACTTTTTTTTACATTCGCATAAATATTCATTAACTCATTTTTAAGTAAATATAAGATGTTTTAATTTAAATAATAGATTTTTAAAATAAATTATGTTAAATAACGAGATTATATTATCGAATTGTACAGTTTGGAATTTGTTTTTCTATAACTTTAAATACTTCACAATCTAAAATAGAAAATTGATCATTAGTTATTCTAATAGAATTTTCATAAACTTTATTATTACCATGAAAACAGCAACAATTTTTATCTTTAGTAAAATCAGAAACCATTACAAATTCACAACTACCAAAACATGGACCAACAATATTCTGACAATCTGAATATAATAAAGCTAAATCACTACATATAACTCGGCTAAGAATTGAATTTTTAATATTCCCATTTTTCAAAGAAAAAATGAAACTATCATTTGTTTTCATAAAAGCATTTTTTTTTGAATTATCCCAAACTAAAGGATTTAAACCACCAACTATTTCATCAGTTTCTGTAACTTTTGCAACCACAATTGTGCCAGCATGTCCGTGACACATGTTCCAAAATGTCTTTGGACGAAAACCATCTCTACTTCCTCGAAGAATTAATTGAAATTCATAAGGATTATTTACTAAAGAATAATTAGTCGATTTTCGATCAATCCATGATGAAAGTTCTGTGACATGTTCTTTGTTTATTATAGAAGAGAATGGTTCATTTACTTTTGATGGCAATTCAGTAGTTGAAATGGTTCTTGAAGGCAATTCAGGAGTTGATATTGTTCTTGAAGGCAATTCAGGATCGGAAATGATTCTCGCTGGAAAAACAAGGGAAATAATTGGTTCATTTGGTGACAGAGAATGTTGAATTATGTCATCCCAAAGTTGTTCTTCAAGGATTTTTTTATAGGGTTTCAGTTTCTTCCAAATAACTTCACCAGGAATATGAAAATATCGAATAAGTGGTAAACATTGATGTAGAGTTATTTTCAAAGCCTCGAAATTTTCATTAGGCCATTCTTTCGTTTGAGCGGGTAAAGTGGGATTTTGTGCAATTCCCCATTTAATAACGTAATCTCAAATTTTAATTTCTTCGATTTTCAAGTCACCTCTTTTCAAAATAGAAGCCAATGCTGTTTCTTTAAGTGAAATGAAGTCTTCTGATTCAAAAATAAAATTCGGATATTTTACAATAATATCGTTATAAAATTTTCTCAAATCTTTAAATTCATTATTATCAAAGATTGAATGATAAACAAAGGAAAAATGAGTTCTTAACCAAGAACCTTTAGATTTGATAAGGTAACTTTCTAATTTTCCTGATAGTTCTTTAAGTTCTAATTCATTAGCATTTACCATTAATTCATAAATGGTTTTGACACTGTATTTTCAATATCGACAGTTCCGGAATAAACACATCTTAAATGATAAAATTTATTTATTTTATAGCTTTGAGACATAATAAATTAATTTAATAAGCGATGAATAATTTTTTAACTTAAGAATAATTTCAAATATTTGTGCAGAAATATTTGGTTTAATAATAGTTTAAATATGATTCTTATTCGTAGGCGCATTCTCTAATTCTTTATCAAAGTAGGATGAACGGTAATGTAAGACAACTGAATGTGCAGTAAAATATTTTTTATTTCTTTCTTTGTCAATTTCGATAATTTTTTTTGTCATATAGAATTTCTGAAAAATCAAGAGATAATTTATCGAAAAATTTAAAAGACATTTTTTTATTTTTTTAAAAAATTCAAAAACTGCATAATAGACTTATAAACCTCCGTTTGTACAATTTCTTTGTTCTTTTAAGGTAATATTATTAAGAGTGAATTTGTAAAACATAACACTTCCATATTTTATCCTAATTTGGATGTTAAGTATTGACGATTTTGTATATAATTATTCACAAAATCTGGTTGCTGTTGATTATGGTGGTAATGATAGTGTCTGTTGCTAAGCTTGATTGTTTTAAAACTATCGGTTTCTTTAAGATTTTAAGTACCATCAATTTTCTCAAGTTGACTTCTTCATCATCAGATTCTTTTACCAAATTCATAATTTTTATTCGTTTTATGATAAAAACCTGTATTATAAAATATTTGATATGAAAATTTTGTCAATTAGTTAAAATTATACCAGACCGGAAGACAATATTTATCCTAATAAAAAGTACGTATACAAAAGAATTAGTTGCTGTTTACGTTTTTATATGTGTATGATTTTTTGTGTTTTTTCTTTTTGTATTTATTAAAATGACATACATATAAAAATATTCGTAACAATCGTAATAACCATCGAACAACGGATCTTTATATATTTTATACGTTAGATTGAATTGTGCGAATTGAAATGAATCGATCGTATGCATTGAATTGTATTCACTTTGCATTTGTAAATAATAAGATCTTTTATTAATTATTAAAATTGCCAACCTTTTATTTAATAGCTATTATAATATAATAGTGCTGTCATCATCATCATCATTATATAATAGACGAAAGAAATATTAAATATGATGGTTACAGTTGGCACTAAATATATAAAGTCAATACCATTAATAAAGGATATTAGAATTTAAAAGAAACATAAATTCAAATGTAGTTACGAAGAGGTAATTAAAAGATATTGAAAGGAAAGAAACTTTGGGATCATTTAAATATATATATTTAATATAAAATCTTTTAATAATTTTTATTAAATGTACTATTGGATATTTCAGTCAATAAATTATGTCATGTACATTTTATTTTCTATACGTTTATGAGCAGTTTATAGACACAAATTTATTAACAATACACTCTATCTGCTAGTGGGTCAAGCAATCAGTTGATCTAAACTTGCCTAACTCGAAACAGATAATAAAATATAAACAATATCAAAATAAATATTAACACATATCAAATAATATTTAATAATATTTCGCAATATTATGACACAAAAGATAAGTTTATTAAAACAAAAAGGGTACACTTAATAAAAGTAAAGTATTTATCATCCTCGTAACACTTCACTTTGTTCGCCACAATATTTAATGATTTTAACGTGAAATTTAATTTTAAACGTGATGTTTATTTAAAGATTTGGTTTTTAATATATGTAATGGATTTCGATCAAAAATTCCATTTCACACACCTAAATTAATTACACAAATAATTATGCGATGTTGGGATGCGAGAATTACACATTGACCCAATTTTGATGAATTAAAAAAAGAATTGAATAAATACAATACTGATTATAAATAAATGGTTTAGATAGTAATAATGAAATTACAATTCAAATTAAAGAAGCTAAAGAATTTTTCAAACATCAAACAACAACTAATACAGCAGCCACAACTCCCAATGAATTTTCAAACACATCCATAAGCAATTTATACCTGTCGACTTTTCAATTTTAATTAGGCGATGATGATGACGATGGTGACGATGGTGACGATGGTGACGATGATGATGATGATGATGATGATGATGGCGATGGTGATACGATGATGACGATGAAGGTGATGACGGTGATGACGATGATGATGATGATGACGATATGATGATGATGATGATATATATATGTTACACATAACACTAAGTATAGAGTTTGTTATTATGTTTTTTATCAATAGGGTTTTATGGGGTAACATGATCGTCGGAACTGGAAATCGGTTTCCTATTATGATAAAGATTAAACATCATTCTCACAATGAATTACCAAAATAGCTCAAAATTATTAAACGTGTTATGAACCTGTCGAGTCGATATTTGTATGCCAAACCAACTAAGACTTAGATTGTAAGGCCAGACGTTATTTCAGATCGATTTTTTACCATAATATTACTATGTCCATTCGAAAGCCCTCCTTTTAAGCTTCGCAATAGTGGCTGAATAATCTTTCTGGCATCGATATTTGACGAGTTATTAGGGTCCAAAGACAATACATTTTCATATATTTGTTTTCGTAAACTAATATAGGCTTGTATTTTTAAAATTTTGATTGATTGTGGTAATGGTAATTTTCCAAATTTAAATTCAGAAATTAATAACCAAGTAAGTAAGTAGGGGAAGGAGAAGGGCGTTTTATGATGCATAAAATAAAATAAATGAAATGCTCATATATAAGGGGCAGGTATTCCTTGAATTTTTTGTTTTTTTTTTAAAAAAAAAAAATTTTGATTCTTTAAAAAAAATAATAACGATGTCCTCAAAGAAATATGTTTTTATCGCCATCTTATTGGTTATTTGTTTACAAGTAATTTCTTCCATTCCAATTTCAGAAATTCCAGGTCCATGGATTGTATCAGACATTGCTGGTAAAAAAGTGAAAACTGGTGAAAATATTTGCCTAAAAATAGGTTCCCCTAAATACACTTTGGTTAATATTACTCTCTTACAAAGAGGATCTGTTAACAATCAAACGCTTCTCACAAACGTCGGATTAGATTCTGGAATCAACAAAGTTACTGTTAAAATTCCATCATCCGGTAATTTCACAACAGCAAATCCTGAAAATTATTTCGCTTTATATTCTAATGGAGAAAGAATTGATTATTCTGCAACCTTCCAAATTGGAGATCCTGGTTTTGGTATTACCATTTGTAAACCAGTCGCTGGTGATGTTTTAAAGATAGGAAAAGTATTAGTAGCTAAATGGTCTGGATCCTATGTTCCTCCAAGTGAAAATGCGACTAGTTTCACATTAGTTAGAGCTTTACTTGAACCTGCCATCACCACTGGACCTAATGTCGTAGCTTTCAATTTCTTCCCTGGTTCGAATCTTACTTTCTCAACTTGTACTTTAAATTTCACTTTACCTTCAACAATACCTAACAATACTTTATATAAATTCGGATTTTTGATCACATCTAATATTTCAAAATATGAAATGCAAATTTATTCTTCTGGCACTTTCTTAATCAAATAAAAACTATTTATCATTATCATTTATTTATCATAATTTTATGTAACAAATAGTAAATATTTAAAGAGAGATTTACTGTACTTGTACTCATTCTATTTATTTAATAAAACAAAACCATTTCTTCTAACATCTTTCTTTGGAAGATTATTTTTTCAAAAAAAACGCTCAAAATTTTGTAGATCCTTTATTCTGTTGTTGGACGTAAAAGTATTATTATTTTTTTTTTTTTTGATATATTTGCCATAATAAAACTTTTTTTGTATAAAGATTTTTCCGTGTACATTTAATATTTTGATAAAAAATAAAACGTAAAGAATGATATGATGCTTTTGCTAATTGCAACATAACAGGTGATCAAAAAGCACAAACTTTTTTTTATTAGATTCCCTAAACTAAAGCTATCATATGATATATTTTGTGTCAAAATTGAATGCTTACATGTGTTAAATAAAACTGACAAAAAATAAAAAATTTAATCTCTGAAAGTTACCATACTGAATTAAATATATATTAAAGGTAGATGCCAACTATCTTACAAGAAATTGTAGCCAGAAATAAGATCTACAAATTTAATTAGAACGACATTTTGTAGTATCTAGTGAAAATTTGGACTTTATTTAGGCGTAAATAAAAAATGCGAAATTTATTAAAAATTTTAAAAAAAAAATAAAAAAAAAATCCGAAAATAATTATCAAATATTTCTGCATATAAAAGTTTTTTACTTATTAAAGTAGTAATAAAAATGACACCAAGTAAAATTAAGGTTAAGAAAATATAGCATCTTATGTAAAGTATCAGACATATTTAGTTAAAATTGAGCGATTAAATGCCAGAGAATAATTTTCGAAGGTCCGGCGTACAGTCGTTGATATTAAATTTAATTCGCAAGTAAAATTCTAAAAACTTAAAAAAGATTCTATAAATTCTTAGCTTTAAGATTAATTAGTAACATATTTGCCATTTTATTAATAAATTATGAATATTTATATGTACAGTAGTAACGTTTGATAGTTATTTTTTGAATTCAACGGTAAAATGATCGACAATAATGCCTTAGAAATTTGTGCGGTGGGAAAATTTATTGTCGATCATTTTATTTTTGAATATTGAAAATAATTATCAAAAGTTACTACATATTAAAGTTCATTATTTATTAATAAAACAACAAATGTATTACTAAATAATCTTATAGCCATGAATATGTAGCATCATCTATAAAGTTTTTAGAATTTTCAAATTAAATTTAATATCAACGGCTGTACGCCGGACAACTAGAAATTAATAAAAAAATTATTAAATTCAAAATGTTAATTTTAGCACAACGGTTTTTTTTTATTAAATTATGATATATTTTGTGTCAAAATTGAATGCACTTTAAATAAAACTGACAAAAAATAAAAAATTAATCTTTGAAAGTTACTCATACCGGATTCGATAGATATTAAAGGTAGATGCCGACTATCTTACAAGAAATTGTAGCCAGAATCAATATTTACAAATTTAGTTAGAACGATGTTTTGTAGTATCTAGTGAAAATTTGGACTTTACTTAGGCGTGAATAAAAACGGCCGAAATTTATTAAAAATTTAAAAAAAAATAAAAAAAAAAATCCGAAAATAATTATCAAAAATTTCTGCATATCAAAGTTTTTATTTATTAAAGTAGTAATAAAAATGGCACTAAGTGACATTAAAGCTGAGAATATATAAAATCTTATGTAAAGTATTTAGACATATTTAATTAAAATTGAGCAAATAATTAACTATCCAATTCCAAAGAATAATTTAGAAGGTCCGGACGTGTCACGACCCGCGTAAGATCAGCTATTAAAAAAAATGAATGTTTCAAGTTGCAATGGTGATGAAATAACGATATTTCACAAAAACATGCAAGAACATGATTCGACAAAAAAGATATCAATTAATTTGATAACTGTAGATTTGCCTTACATATACGGTAATGCCGTGTCGTTCTTACGCTTAATTCGATTTCAAAATGCAGGATTTTAAGTTAATAACTAGAACAGGTTTGTACTGCGACTTCGTCGCTGATGTTTTTTTTTAAAAAATTAATTTTTATTGAAAACAAAATAAAGAATAAGCTATTATTTTGTAACGATGTAATTATTACTTCCAACCTTCGTTAAGTGACCCTGAAAGTGTTAATGCAGCAATAGATAATAGTAAATAATGAAAAAAATTTTGGTATAATTTTGTATGCAAAATATAGTCGAACCTGTACATAAGCATACTTTTTCCAGCATAATTTTACGCATATATGCAGGGTATATTTATATAAGTTAATGATGCTGAAAAAAATTTTACACAAATTGTATTTTTTTTTTATGAGTGATGCTAATTTTCACCAGGGGGAAATTTCACCGTAGGCAGAATTACATAATTCCTGGTCAATCCCCTAACCCTAACCCTACCAACATTAACTTAATTCTGCCCACCGGTTAATTTTCCCTCCGGTTAAATGTAGTTTTTTTCTTTTTTTATTACTAATAAAATCAAATTAATTATTCATCATCAATCATCAAAATTGCTTAATTTACCTAAATAAAGAACCAGAATATTTAATTTTTTTAAAAAAAATTATGATGGATAATTGTTATGGCTTAATTCATTAGGGGATATTGACCGAGAATTTTGGGATGACGATGAACGATGAGTAGAAAAAAATTAACCCGATGATGGTGAGACTACTCAAAACAAATTCATTTTTTTTTATTATAGGTGATTTTTTTTTAAAAAAAAAGAATTATGAGCGGCTAATAAAAATTAAAATGTGACGGTTCTCTTGAAATACAAAAAAAAAAATACGTGATTATGCTTGTATGTGTCTATTATATCCACGGTCGTGCAGTATGCAGATGCATGTATACAGGTTCGAATTATTTAATATCTTATATTTACTTAATTTATTTTAATTTCACACCGTGAGTAAATTAATAAAAAATAATGTTATTATTAATACAAATTCAGATAACGTATATACAAAATATGTGCAAAAATCAAAAATATTATGTTAAAAAAGGTTATGTCAATTGATAAAATATGCCCAAAATGAATTTAATATACTCTTAGAAATATTTGGCACATCGAATAATTTCAAAAAATTTATAAAATATTTTTTACATTTTTTTTTTATATTCGTCTAACGCTTTATTGAAGTAAAGGTTAAATGATAACGTGGCGTGGCTAAGAAATTAGTGATATTTTAATTTATTTAATAAATAGATTTTATTATTATTGAAAATAGAAAGTATAAATTATATTATTAAAATAATGAGATTATATTATCGAATTGTACAGTTTGGATATTGTTTAATACTAATTTTAAATACTTCATAGTCTACAATAGAAAAAAGGTCATTGGTTGTTCTAATACGTTTTCTATAACTAGTTTTAGAATTACACCGACATAATTTATCTTGAGTAAAATCGGAAACTTTTGATTCCATCCTAAATTCGCTATTACCAAACCATGGACCATAAATATCTACATCCAGATCATTAGGATAATATATAGCTTTCTTATTATTATTTTTGACTCGACTGAGAATTGAATTTTTAATATTCCCATTTTTTAATGAAAAAATGAAACTATCGTTCGTTTCCATATAAGTACCCGGTGTAGAATTATCCCAAGCTAAAGGATTATAACCACCGACTATTTCGTCAGTCCCTGAGATCTTTGCAACCACAATCGTGCAAGCGTGTCCATGACATAAATTCCAAAATGTCTTGGGACGAAAACTCCCGCTACTTCCTCGAAGAATTAATTGAAAATTATAAGGTATATTTTCTAAAGAATAAGTTGTAGATTTTCGATCAATCCAGGATGAAAGTTCTGCAACATGATCTTCGTTAATTATAGTTGAAAATGGTCCATTTACTCTCGCTGGTAATATAGGTGATACAAGAGCTTCAACTGATTTATTTGGGAACATATGATGTTGGATTAAGTCATCCCAAAGTTGTTCGTCAAGAATTTTTTTATATGGCCTTACTTTCTTCCAAATATCTTCTCTAGGAATATAAAAATATCGAATAAGTGGTAAACATTGTTGTAGAGTTATTTTCAAAGCATCGAAATTTTCTTTGGACCATTCTTTAAAATCACCAGGTAAAGTAGGATTTTGTGTAATTCCCCATTTGATAATGTAATCCCAAATTTTGATTTCTTCAACTTGCAAGTCATCTCTTTTCAAAATTGTAACCAATGCTCTTTCTTTAAGTGATGTGAAATCTCCCGAATCAAAAATCAAATTCGGATATTTTACAATAATATCATTATAAAATTTTTTCAAATCTTTAAATTCTTCACTATCGAAGATTGAATTATAAACGAGTGAAAAATGAGTTCTTAACCAAGAATCTTTAGATATGATAAGGTAACCTTCTAATTTTGCTGATAGTTCTTTGAGTTCTAATTCATTTGCATTGATCATTAATTCATAAATGGTCATGGTATCCGAATTTTCAATATCGACAATTCCACCATAGATATATCTAAAAGCATAAAATGTATTTCATTTTATTAGTTTCGAGCCATAATATATAATTAATTAAATAATCAAAAGTCATAAATAATTTCTTTTTAACTTACTTAAGAATAATTTCAAATATTTGAGCAGAAATATTTGGTTTAATAATAGTTTTGATGTGATTTTCATTCGTTGTAGCGTTCTCTATTTCTTTATCAAAATAGGGTGAACGACAACGTAATACAACCGAATGTGCAGTAAAAGATTTCATATTTTCTTCTTTATCAACTTCGATGACAACATTATATTCTTTTTTATCATTAAGAATTCCTGAAAAATCAAGAGATAATTTATCAAAAAATTTAAATGACATTTTTATGATTATTTTAAAACTTCGAAAACTGCTCGTTTATACAATTTCTTGTACAATTTATTGACAATATCTCATCGTTCTTAAAAGGTAATATTATTTAATAATATTTTTGTCAAACATAACACTACGCTTCGATA